AAGGACACTGACTGGTCTGTAACCACTGTGAGCACACAAGCGCATAAATGGCATAGATGATCTCGAGTCCAGCTGCTTCATAAGGTTATAGTAATGCAGCATTTATGTCATATAAGATGATATATGATATGATAGATGGATGGTAGAACATCTCCCATGTTTACAGCTTGAAGGTTAAAAATGCATCTCCAAAACAGCAGTGTGTTTATTTAATTTGTGTTTAAATCCCTTTTTTAAGTGCTGAAGTTGAAGTCATCATGGATTTCAGAAAAGAGTTTTCCTGCTGTAACTGACTGGGATGTTTATGTATTTCAGAGTTGGGAACTGGTAATTATAGTAACTATCATATGATATGGTATGATGATGCAACATAAATGTACGTTAACATTTTGATTGTGGGCATTGACATTAGCGTTGAGACCCAAAGCAGTGCTGTGCCTAAATACACTACTGTAAACCAATGATTACTACTACTGATGAATGAAATATGTCACTATGTCTGAAATATGACAGAATCATAATATCTAACTAAAGCCAACTTCAATAGTTTTAAGTTGAAAAAGAGCTAGAATAATCATAATGAAGCATCTTCGTAATACTTCCTTTCATTTATCATCAAGATTTGATCAATCTTAGGGGAAAAAACTAGGTCCCTTGGCAGTTGATATCTTCCTAAAACGGACCAATGGAACCAAAGATTATCTTCCAAAGTTATTCAATAAATGAGCTCAACCATGTTCCGATGGGATTAAGGATTTTTTCACAAGGGTACATTGTGGATTTGAGAGCAGTTTTGATCATTATAGGATCAAGCAATGATACAGCCTTCTTTCTTCGACTGGATTCATTTGCATGTCACAGCCAAACAGCATGGAGCATTCAAATTCTGTTGCTAGGCTGTAAAGCCTGCCCAAAGATGCTTCCTCTCAGGATTGGATCAGTTTTAAATAGAAAGTAGAAAACCATCTCTGACAAGATACAAAATGATGATAAGTCAAAATGCCATGCCATCATAGACAAAGATGGATTACCAACCAGGCAAACTGGGCAACTGCCCAGGGGTTTCTGACTCACACGACACTGACTATTAGCGGGCTACTTGTGGTTCCTATAGTCTCTAAAAGTAGAACAGGAGCCAGAGCCTTCAGTTACCACCTCTTCCCTGTGGAACGCAGAAATTCCAGTTGTGGTTGGGAGGCAGACACCCTCTCCCACAAAATTTAAGAGTAGGCTTAAGACGTTCCCTCTTTATAAAGCCTTAATAGTTACGGCTGGGGATCAGGTGAGTCCTGAACCATCTCCTTTAGTTATGCTGCTTAGGCCTAGACTATCGGACGATCTCCCATCGGATCACTGAGCTCACTCTCTCTCCTCTCTTCTCT